CTTAAAAAGCATCGGGGAAGAAAGACATCTATCCCCGTTTTATAGACAGACAAACTGAGGCCCAAAGGAATGTGTCTGGAATTCACAACCTTGACTGCCAGGCCACCGGCTACTATGACCTGGAGGCCAAACTGGAAACATACTTTGGCTGGAACATTCTGCTCAGTCTGTCTCAGACACCAACTCAGGGGTTAAATGCATTGAAATGTGTCAGGCATGCCGCAGGCCCCCGCAGATGTAAACAATTAGGCAGGGAACAGAAGTGGGCGATCAGAGCCCAGTCGATGGCTGTCCTCAACCTCGTCATCGCGCCAGGGCTGGGAGTCTGAAATTCTCACATTTTCAGATCTCTATCACGAATGGATCTGAGATTTCAGAAGAATTTAAACCAAGTGCAAACAAATGGCAGACCTGGACTCCCTGTCTCAAATGTGGCTTCAGAATGGGAACCAGGAATGGTTGATTCCGTCTGTGGTATTACCTCGAAGCCCTACCACTTCCTCACCTATAAAAGGTGACACTGATGGTTAAGAATAGCGGATCTGGAACAAGGTGCCTGGGTCAGATCCTGGCTCTGTCTTTAGGTGCTGTTTGACCCCAGCAGGTCACTTCTCTTTCCTTTTTTGGGGAGCTGATAGTATCCGTCTCCCAAGGCTGCTGTGACGTTCTGTGACAATAAAGAGATCTGGAACCGCATAAGCACCTCAGCAAACACTGGCAGCGGCTCTGATGCCACCACAGAGGATGCCTGGCCCCACGGAGGCGAGAAAGGAAGAGGGTGTCCTGGGCGCCAGCCGCCCAAGTCCATCCTGCTGGTCACTTGCTGGGAGGTGCCCGAGGCCATGAAGCCTGCAGGGCAGCTCAGCGATCCATATAACTCACTCCTGATTATGCTCTAGCCCAACTGAGCAGCTGCTCCAGAAAGAAGTAAAATATGCTTTGCATACTTGAAATGTTTCACTTATGAAAACTGGCAGGGATGCCTCTCTAAACTGTTTAGCAATAAAGTCAGTAAGGAGAGCACTGTTCCAGGCTCTCACCGCTGGAGCCCGGTCGGGGAGCCTGCCAGGGGTGGGGAGGGAGGGCGGGCAGGCTGGCCGCCAGCGCGGAGCCCACTGGGGCTTCCAGAAGGCGCCATCTGGGATTTTTCAGAGGGGCACTGGGATCACATCCTGGTGTCCTGATGTGAAACTAGATCCTCCCTTTGGAAGCCAAGCCCCGAGCCAGCGGGGGCAGAGAGGAGGGCCCTTCCGGCCTGGAACGTTTTCCCACACTCCAAGGGCGCCCCGGTTTCCAGCCAATCGAGTTAATTGAAAAATTACCTTGGGCTGAGAAAGAGCAAGCCTGGGCCACAGGAAACCCTACTAGGTCTCCAGCCTGATGGGATTTCAACCACCTGCAGCTAGAGAGCCTGGAGCCATGCTTGCCATTCTTGGGACGGGGGGGGATGCTCTGTGTGCTGGGCACACGACCTGTGCAGCCCTGTGCGGCCCCCAGCCACGCCAGGTGAGATGCCTGCTTTACAGGTGAGGAAACTACAGAACAAAGACTAAGGAAGTCCCAAGGGGCCACACCTAGGAAGTCACGGGCCACAGTCACCCAGGCTGCCTAGCACCGCCTGCAATATTTCATCCCAGGATGCTGTTCTGCAACGTGCCATGGGGCCCCCCATCCCAAATCCTAACAATGTACCTCAAAAGGAAGCACAGGACTACACCAGCTGGCAAGGCTGGCTGGAGGCCCTCTGCCCAGCTGGGGACAAGATGCCATTTTCATATGCAGAAGGCTACGCTTTGGGCTGATAGTTAAGCTAAATATAGTGTTTTGTTTTGTTTTTTCTTTCAAGTGCTCTCACTTTTATTATGTTTACCATCCCGACCCTCTGGGGAGGTGGGTTTTATTGTCTCCATTAAAGGCAGTCGACCCAAGGCCCAAGGAATCGCCCTCTGGTAAGTCACCCAGGGAGTCTGGGCCCAGTTCCCACCTCAGCCCTTCCCCGGCCCCTTCCCATCCACCCCAGCAGACTCGTGGGTACAACACCGCCTCCTGGGCTGTTCCTTCCATCCCTGTCCTCTAGGCCCCCAGTCTGTTCAAAAGGCCAAGGGCATCCAGAGTGGTCTGTCCTGTCTCCAAAGACCTCTGCAGTCACAGATTCTGAGACTTCTAAGGAGGCGGCCAATGGGGGCCCCCACAGCCCTGTCCCCATTCCCATCAGGCTACAAACTTTAAGACTAAACATGAACAAACCGATTAGAAAAACACCCTTATTTCACTTGGGGAGTTTCAGCAGTGTGGTCTCTAAACCAAACGTATAATCAAGACACAGAAAAATGTGGGGGTTTTATGGAGGGGGAGGAGCAGTGAGACGAGGAGGGCAAACTCAAGTCCCTAAGTTACTGCCCTGTCTGTGGACAGAACTTCTCCCCCGAGAGGAAAACTCGACTCTGGCACGAGCTGCACACCTGACATCCAGCTCTGACGAATACTTGCTGAACACCTTGACCGAGAGGCAATGTGGTCAAAGTGGCCGCAAACATCGCAGGGGTGACGGGGGCTGGGTTTGAGTCCCGGCCACTTAGTAACCTCTCGGTGCCTCAGTTCCACTGCCTTGTGCTCCTGAGACCAGCCCCTGCCTGGCTGCCTTGGCCCTGGATCCCCAGAGGCTTCGCCTGACCGGAAACCCCAGGTAGAATATTTCTGGCTGAGAGGTGTCCAGAGTAGAGCTCCTGGCAGCTGGTTGCCAAGGAAGTAAAGTGGTCGCCGGGACCGTGACCTGGAAGCTCCCTCTATTTTGCCGCCTGCCCCTCCTCACTTCCTCCAGTTTATGGACTGAAAACTGGAAGAGATGAAACTTGAATTCCTGCTTTGAGCTGCCGCCGACTCTCCACCAAACGCTCCCCCTGTCTGTCTGGCTCACTCCACCAACATTTCACAAAGGTCAAATGCTTATTCCACTCCGCATGCTGCCTCTTGGGAGAGCAGAGGAGAAAACTATTCGAAAAATGTAAATTGAAAAAACCCCATGGCTCTCCACCCTCCACCCCCACCACACACACTCGCATGCTGGTTCACACACAGCTAGACAGAACACACAACCATGTCCCAGCACCTCGGTCTTAAAAGCAAGTAAGAAGACAAAGAAGTGATGCAGAATTTTCAGCAATGGTGACCCACCCCCACCCAGCCTGTTTTCCTTGGAAGAATAAAATGGTCCTGCAAACCGGACAAGGAACTATCTCTTGTACAGAACAGCGTCCTTCCGGGTCTTTCTGATCACCTCCTTGCAGGAGTCATGTATCATATGCCCCAGCACTGAGCAGAGCCCTGACCCAGAAGCTGAGACCAAGCGGTGCCCGTTGAGCTGAATTCAGCCCAGGACACAAACTCAAGGCAAAGAGTGTCTTAGATCAGGCCACAGCCCCCTCTGGGACTGCACTCTCCTGGCCACAGGTGCTTTCGAGACCAAACACGCTTTTCCCTGAAGCCTCTCTCTTCTATCAT